TACTGACATCCCGTCTTAGTTCCGGTATGAAAAAGGAGTTTATCATAGTTGTATAGCTCTCACTCGTCACTGTAACAGTAGTGCCACGATGGTCTTCAAAGAAGTTTGGGCCTATAATTTCTTTTGTAGACATTGCACACCATACAGTCACTTTAAGACTATGTAACATCATTTCACGCTTTTGATTTAGGTTGGCAGAAGCCCAGTGCCAACAATTTTGACGGTTTACATAACCTTCTAGGTGGAAATGAGCTTCATCACTGAAATAAACGTCTTCCAAGTCAGTTTGCTCTGGGAAAATTTCTACTATTCGTTCAGCATAAGTTTTACGCTTAAAATAATCATCAGGCTTAATTTGTTGCATTATTTGGATCTTGTATGGATGCAGCTTTAGGTCTAGTGTCAATATGCGTCGAAGACTAGAGCGGCGAATTTTCAACGACACCGCATATTTTCTTATCGAACGTCTTAGCTGGGCTTCAACTGCAGCGGTGACGCGGTTAATGTTTTCCTTGGAACGCACAGGTCTTTTTCGGCGGCGAATTGTTTTGTTTATTGCTGAGCCCGCTAGTTGGAATCTTTCTACCCTTGTTTTTACTAATTGAACACTTGGTGCATCACGCAAATACCGAATATTGTAATGACTATAAAACTTACGACGTGCTCGTGTGTACGAATGTACATTGCTAAAATAAGCCTCCACTGCATACGCACGGTGCGCTCCCGACCACGACATGGCATCGACTAAAAATTTCCGGACCGTTAACTTTCGAATGCTGTACTTCACATCTCAGTAGCTCCGCTGCCAGCGAATTTATTAACGATCTAAATTTAAAAAGTTAGCTGAGTCACCCTGTATAACTGCGACATGGCTCTACCACGTAAAAAAACGTCTGTGTTGGTTGTAACACCCTGAGTCGTTGCGTTTGTTTTTATTATATGCGTTTCTTTTTATTTCCAGACTTTTTAAAAAATAATCATTAATTGCCTCGCCGTGTTAATTGCCTTGCCATGTTAATTGCATGATGTATTCTATATAGGAGAGGTTTAGCATCTAAAAGATAGATTCCGCATTTTGCAAATCCAGCTTTGAGGTTATTAGCACTGTTCAGGGTTATTGCATTTACTAAACGTTTTAACATTTGAGAGAAAATGCCCTTTGGAAGAACTGCAATCTTATACCCACTCGATTTCCAGTTGAACAGAATGAACCTCCAAGCAACTTTCAGTGGGCGGAAGAACGCAACATCTAGCGGCTGTCTTAAATAGGTACTGTTTGGTGGTAGACAAAGAAATGTCATAATGATTTCTTAAATTTACGCGAACACTACACATTGAATAAAACTATTATTTACGGATTTTATCGCGTTTAATTACTTTAATTTATTTTTATTATTATCCCGACGTTTCGGGTGCTTTATAACACCCATGGTCACGGGGGGGGGACTGAGATGTTTGACGTCCAAATGTCATAGTCCGGCTACCTTCAGTTTTTTTTTTTAATATTAATTTTTGGTCCGATTTACGCAAAACGAGCTTATAGTATCATGAAGTCTTGCAGTGGTATGCTTGGGTTTGGGTTTAATTTTGTTAATTATAGGATCCCAAGCAGATGGTAGCACCCAACCATCTTCTCTATTGAAATTTGGATGTTTTTTAATTTCAATAGCCTCGCGTATCATCCTTGGTAGGAATCGGTGTTCTTTTGCGAGAATTTGTGGTTTATCAAATCTAATGTAATGGTGGGGACGATCTTAAACATGTTCGCAGACTGCAGACTTCCCGGAGCGTCGGTGCTTCACATCAGCTATATGTTCCTTCACGCGGGTTTTTATAGATCTTGTTTGACCTATGTAAGAGAGAACACATTCACAATCTAGCTTGTACACACCTGCATCTTGTAGAGGAATATTACGTTTGATGGATGGTAAAAATTGATTAATCTTCTTCAGCGGCTTGTAGTATGTCTTAATGGACGCTCGCTTCATGGTGTAGCCAATCTTGTCCGTGACTCCTCTGACATATGGTAGTAGAGCAGGCGCGCGCTCGTCTGTGGCCGGCTTCACTCGTTCACTGTGACGTAGGCGCGGGACCCGAAGCTTGTTGTCTTGCAATACTTGCTTGACGTGCTGAAGTTCCGCGGCCAGATGTTTTCTGTCACAGATCCCTCGTGCTCTCTGAAACAAAGATTTACCCACGGTAGCTAACTGTGAAGGATGATGGTGAGATTCACCATTTAGATATCGGTTGGTATGGGTCTTTTTCCTATACACAGTGTGACCAATAGTGTTATCAGGATTTCGGATGACTAAAACATCTAGGAAGGCTAAAGAATTATTTGTCTCTAACTCCATTGTGAATTGTATTTTAGAGTTTATGGAGTTAAGGTGGTCTAAAAATGCAGTTACTTTGTCAGATGGTAAAATTGTGAAAGTGTCGTCTACGTACCGCTTGTACACCTTGGATTTACAGGAGCAGTAAGAAGGGCTTTCTCCTCAAAGTCATCCATGAATATGTCGGCGACTATGGGAGACACAGGTGAGCCCATCGCCACACCATCTACTTGCTTGTAGAACTCCTCCTTCCACAATAGATAGCCAGATGTGAGGCAATGTTCAAGTAGTATTGCATATTCTTGAGGCATGTTATTTTCTTCTAGCTTCCTAGTTACAATTGAGATGCAGTCCACAATAGGTAGGCATGTAAATAGTGACTGAACATCAAAACTGACCATAGTTTCATTGTTAGCGAGATGTAGGTCTTTTGTCTCACTCACAAAATGGTACGAATCCTTTGTGTGTGCTCTGGTATGTCCTCTCAGTGGTGATAGTATTTTTGCTAAGTATTGTGCCAGCTTATAAGTTGGTGAATCGATCTGGCTCACTATGGGACGTAGTTGGAGCGTTTAGTTTGTGTATCTTCGGTAACCTATACAACCTCGGTGGTTTGGCACATGATGGTATTAGCGAATTGACGTCGAAATTTTATTTTTCGGTGTATTTCATTATTAAATCGCTAGTTGTTTTAAGCGTGTTAGTTGTAGGGTCTTTTTTGACCTTTTTATACATATGTACTTTCGTTCGATAAAAGTTGTTGTATTTTAAAATTATATTCCGACGCGTCCATTACTACCGTAGCATTTCCTTTATCCGCGCGGAGAATCGTGAGTTCTGGTCTGTTCCGTAAGTTATTTAGCGCTGTAAATTCGTCTTTGGGAAGGTTTGGTTTCGGCACTGAACTACGACGTAACAAGGACGAAATATCTTGACGTATGGCCTCCAAATTTTCCTTATCGATATTATTCTTAAACAGACAATCCTCAACACTGCAGATAATTTCTTTGTACGGGATTTTTCGCGGAGTTAATGCGAAGTTCATTCCCTTCGCTAATACTTTCATTGTCGGTTCATCCACTGTATGTTTTGACAAATTATAGACAGTGCGTTGTTTATAGTTTGTGTCTATGGTCAACGGTTGTTTATTGTTCTGGCGTTGACTTGGATGTTTGGCATTTGATTTGATCGTTAATTTTTGGTATTTTTCTATTTGTTTATTTTTGCATTCATTGTATTTCGATGTTTCTCGTTTGTTTAAAGTTTCGATGCAATTAATAATATCAAATGTCGTTAAAATTGTCTTTAGTTCACTGGACAAATTGTCTATGGTATGGACAAATCACCGTACGTAACAACTTTTTACTTGCCTGATTTAAGATCTTAGCGCTTCCTCGAATGTCCTTCTTTGTTGATATTTTGACACACGTAGGAATGAGATTATGGTCTCTGCATCTCTTCAAGAAATTTAAAGATGTTATATATCTTGCGCGCTTGGTTTTAAGATCTTCTAATCGGCGAATTTTATTTGCTATTACCAGTCCGTACTGGATCACATAATGATTTCTTAAATTTACGCGAACACTACACATTGAATAAAACTATTATTTACGGATTTTATCGCGTTTAATTACTTTAATTTATTTTTATTATTATCCCGACGTTTTGACTTCGGGAATCACTTTTTTATTGCCGGAATCATTCGTGACGTTTATTTCGTCATAATTCCAAATATTACTGGCTGGCACATCTACGAGCTCTTGTCTGTATTCAGTCAAAATGTCTGGAGTGATGGCGGCCCTAACTCGTCTAATATTTGCACGTAAAGCGTCTGGATAAATCAAGGTGGCGACGTAAAAATGACACGACCCATTCGGTACCCAGCTAATTATTTTTAAATCTTATAACAGTTCGCCCAGTTTTATCTAGATAAGCTTTTACGATATAACGAAAATCAATTTCAGATAAGAGGAATTCGTACGTTCCCATCAATATAATGCGATTAGAAAACTGTGATTCTTCTTCATCGTCAAAAACTTGAGGATGTCCTGGTGGTTTCACGGCTGTATTATTTTTTGTAGAGCGATGCAATTCTCCCACACACAGAAAAAAATATTGGCTGACTGACATCAGTCAACTCTGTTGTTGCTAGACCGAGAAAATATTTTCAGCTATAAATATTGGATTCTACTAAAAAGTAGAGTATCAGCAAGCTAAATTAGATTTAATAATTTTTCTGAAGTGGAGCATTTTTTACACCCTAGGAGCAAAGTAGGACCATATTACAGTATATAATAAAGTTTACAATTACAACGATAGCATCATTAGAAAAAAAAAATGGAGTAGCGCGACATCTATGGCATATTTTTTAGTTTACTTGTACTGTTGAATGTTGTATAACATAATTAAGTCTGATGCTACAGCAGCTTCTTAATTTATGGATATAGATGGCACTTTAAAATATAGATAGATATGATATTTCGGCAGTTGTTAATAATTTAATTTAATAATACGTACGACATAATTATGAAGGTAATTAATTTCTTTTGCAGGAGATATGAAATAAATAAGAAAATAAAAACGAAAGTCATTATTTTTTATTTATCTAAATATAAATGTGTTCCACGGCGAGATTCGAACGTAATAAAGAGTAAACTGTCTTTGTTTTCATAGATATATGGGACCTTTGCCCGGTTCGGCTATGTGAGGTGTTGGTCTGCTGGCAGGTGTGGTTGATGCTGAGGGGGCTGGTTGGGTGGTAAGGCCAAGCATGCGTGCCTTTTGAAGGCTTTCGACTCTTAGATTAAGGTTGTTTACGATCTGCCTGTCTTTCATCATCATCTCATTTATGGTCTGGAGTTGTGTGATTATTTTTGTTTGATTGTCTACTATTCGGGCCAGGAGAGAGCACACTATCGCGGTGTCCGGATGGTCGCCTGGAGGAGGAGCGGGTGCGGACGGAGCTGGGGGCGGCGACCCCGGAGCCCGCTGAGGGGAGGGGGGGCCTTCGGTCTCGGATTCTTCCTCTGTGGCTACACCTGTTAACTCTGTGATCGGTATTGTGATGCCTTGATGCAACACGTCCGATCCTGGGCTCTCCTTCAGTCGATCCATAGCGCCACCAAAGAACTTGTCGTTGAGGTCCATGTCGGCTTGACAAGACACAGTTAATTTTTTCTTAAAGATAATGAGTAGGACTCTTCTCTTTTAGTGTCTTCTCGTCCTTCGTCTCGGAGGTTCTTCTTCTTCCTTACTGTGAGACGTAGGCAGGTCTTCATTGTGTGACGGGATAGCCCAGTTTCATGAGTTTATCTTTTGTTTCATCTGACATCTCTCCTAGCTCAGCGTTTGCCACCTTCTTGTACCGATCAATAAGGTAAGCGTGATTGGAAACATGCGACTGAGAGATTTGGAAGTTTTCTCCCACTAGCTTGTTAACTTTGTCGTACGCGATTCATCATTATCATCATCATCATCATTACAGTCCTTCACAAGTCCACTGCTGAACATAGGCCTCCCCCAAGTAATGCCACAAAGCACGGTCCTGAGCCACCTGCATTCACCGACTTCCTGCATGTCCTACAAGGTCGTCACTCCATCTAGTGGGGGGTCGCCCTACACTACGCCTACTGGTACGAGTCTGCCACTCGAGAACCTTTCTTTCCCATCGGTTATCGGTTCTTCGAGCTATATGGCTGGTCCATTGCTCGTTCACTCTGGTTTTACTGCGGATATCCTCATTTCTGAGTCTATCACGCAGAGAAACTGAGCATAGCCCTCTTCATAGCTGCGTAATAAAGATCCGGGTAGGGAGAGTGGTTAAGTTCTGTGTGCGCTAGAGGGTTTCTTACCCTGCTGTATGCGAAGTTGGGGTCATTTCTTCTTGCTTTGTCCCATCTACTTTGCAGCAATAAGGCTTAATCTAAAACTACCTGGATTTCTAAGGCCCGACAATGGGGTTTAATAAAAGCGTCCATGGACATGGACAGCTTTCAATGAGGAAAACTCCCATACGAGCTTTATCTGAGCTAGAATGGCCCCTTGCATCCCGCTCATATCTAGCTCAAGAACCCTGTCAACTATCTCTCTTCTTAGCTCATCGCGAGTGGAAGCGATATTCTGGAATCTAGTTGTTAGAGCGATCACCCCTTGCAATTACTCTGTTGGAAGGGTGGCGGCTACTGAGGTGGAGGCCAATGCTGCCTTCCACCTCTTGGTGAAGGCTGGCGCGTTTTGAACGGTGATAGGTTTGGCGAGGGTCATCATTGATGACAAGGCCAGTGCTAGAAGGCCTGCATCTATGACTGCGTCGGTTACATTCGGTCTCTCGGGTGCAGACACTGCTATGCAGGATCCGTCAAATGCTGAAGTTGTGAAGGGGGCTATGTTTGACAGCACGGCTGAGGAGCAAATCATCCGTGTACTCCGGTACTCCGTGTACGAGTTCTGCTCCATTTTTGTGACATTCTCTCCAATTTTCAATGTACTTGTATTGCCTCTGTGTGGTTATCACAAGAGTGTGGGTGCTCTCTGGTATTGTGAATGGCATCTTGGGGATGGGTGGATCCGGAAATCCGACTTTTTATGGTACGTAATCTCAGGGCAGTTGAGCATTGTTCAAGTCCTAGCTACACTAAAGTGGCTACGCTCACGGTATCTATCGTTTGGTTAGTGAGTCATTTATCCAAATAGCTGATTAGCTGGTTGTCTAGCTGGCTATGCCACTACAAATAACTGGCTAGCTAGGTTATTGAAATTTTGGCTAGTTACCCATCGCTAGTACTAACTAGCTCGGCGGGCGGACGGCGGCAGTGCTGCCAGTGTTGTAAAATCGATAAAAATGATTTTGATTAAGGCTTCTTTGTAACCGATATTTGTAAAAGTTACTGCCTGTTATTTGTGTCCCATCCAACCGAACGATGTAACATTGCACGAGCGTCCATTGTTTTCAGTTTTTCTATTTTAATCTTACTTTGAAGCAACAAAAACTACTAAGATTTTTGGAAAATGCTTGAATTTTAATACTTTTGTGTTGCGTGTCTATTTTTAAAATGTTTAACAATTTTTAAAATTATTAAAATAAGAAAATATTATGTTCGTCATTGCAAAGTTATGTCGATCGCAAATTTGACATCTGTCAATTAGATCAAGCTATGTTGTACAGGGTATAATAAATTTTCATGTATTAATTGTTCTAAACCAACTGATGACAACAACTATAGTAAGACCGGTCCCCTCATATTTTAAGTTCAGAACTAGGCAATGTGCATATGACGTTCATGAAGTAAACATCAGAAATATGATTTTCATTGCTATCTTCGCATCACCCTCACATACTACATACAACTTAAACATACTGCCGCATACCTGAATTATCCTTGCTTTTTGCCTTCAGCGACTATTCTTGCTAGAACAACCACGCAGTGGTTAGGGTGAAACGCAGTTGTATGAATTTTTTTTTTCATAAATTAAATTCTAATAGCGCGGGATTAGTGCCTTATGTTTAAAGTCATTTTACCTTGAATAAAACTAAATTTACGGATTTTATCGCGTTTATTTCACTACTTTTACTTATTTTTTAATTCCCGACGTTTCGGGTGCTTTACAGCAACCATGGTCACGGGGGGGGGGGGGGGACTGAGATGTTTGAGGTCCCAATGTCATAGTTAGTCCGGCTACCTTCAGTTTTTGAATATTAATTTTTGGTCCGATTTACGCAAAACGAGCTTATAGTATCATGAAGTCTTGCAGTGGTATGCTTAGGTTTGGGTTTAATTTTGCTAATTATAGGATCCCAAGCAGGGGGCAGCACCCATCCATCTTCTCTATTGAAATTTGGATGTTTTTTAATTTCAATAGCCTCGCGTATCATCCTTGGTAGGAATCGGTGTTCTTTTGCGAGAATTTGTGGTTTATCAAAACGAATGTAATGGTGGGGACGATCTTGAACATGATCGCAGACTGCAGACTTCCCGGAGCGTCGTCTGCAGTCTGCGATCAATATTTTTAAAAAAATTTGTAAGTAATTTAGGTGCCAAAAATTAAAAAAAATTGTTTGTTGCATATCTGCAACATTGCGCGTTCACCAAGTAACGCAATGTTTGAGAACTATAGGTTCAGGCAGATCAAATAAAAACGATTTTTACAATTTTTAATGTTTTATTCATTGTGAAATTTATAAAAACAGTTATTTTCTTTATTATAACATAGACTTAACTTACATTTTTCGTATTTCGAGCCTTTTCAGGAAGAAGATCGTAACCGCCATTTTGCATATTTTACAGGAGAACGTTTTTTTTAAATATTTCTCAAATTATTTACAGCATCAATTTGAAATATTTACTTGGTGTTATATGGGCACCTCCCTATTAATTCAAATGTTAAGATTTGACTTAGTGCTATAAAATCACATACATTTGTCGCTTACGTTAAAACTGATGACCGTTATTATGTAGAGCTGATATGAGTATGTCGATTACGATAATTCTTAAATATCATAAAATAGTAGAAATAATATTTCTATTATATAATATTTCTAAAATAATATTATTATTTTTTGTTTTTTTTTTTAACTGTTTTTACGAGATACCATGCCAGGCAGAGAAGGACAAAGAGTCAGAAATACAAAAAAGTAAAAAAAAATTGTAGGTACTTCTAAGTGAATTTGAGCTTTATTAATAAAATGAAATACAAAAAGAGTCATCAGTCCTCGTCTTCATCAGTCTCAGGTAAAGCGTCTCTTGTGTTTCTATCGCAGGGCAAATCCAGATATTCTTTTGTATAAAATTCTGGTATGATACCCTTTTCGCACATTTTATTTAAATCTTCGTATTTCGCCTTCGAGATGGGAAGTTTTTCAGTGTAAGCAGTTTTAGGTTCACGAATAGCTTGTTGATTCTGCCAAGACCTCAATATAAGAGACACATCAATAGCTTGTTCGGGTCCATCATAGTCGTATTTAAGATAGAACTTGTCGCCTTTTTCAAATCTAGCGTTACGCAGCTTGCTTGTTTGTATTTTAATTTTGTTTGGTAAAAAGGCTGTTGCATAGGAATTCCAATCTTTAATTTCATTATTTTTTAAAAGAATTGTCTCATATTTTTTGGGATTTGTCCGAGCATTTCCAATCAAAGTTTGCCATTCAGATGGTGCGTAAATAGTTCTTTTCTGTATAAATCCTTCTATTGTTGCATGCACAGAGTCTACTGGCATCATGGTATGTCCAGGAATGAGGAAGTTTATAGTCAGCCTTTCAACAAAACTCGCATGATATTGCATGAAATAATAGAGCATTACAATCATGGCTTTATTTTTATTTTGTCCTGCGCAACTGTCACAGTATAATGCAACTTCATTTTGGGTCCTTCTCTCGTCAACCATTTTAAGGTATTTAAAGATAATAGTACAGATTTCATTACACCCTCTTTTCGCTTCCGTTTCGTTCCAAAGATAACAAAATACAGATCTGGTACCGCTTTCATAAATGCTTTCATTATAATAGGCAAGCTTTCGAGTATAGTAGAAATTTACACTTTGACCGCGAGGTGTTGTTAAGACCTTTTCAAGATCAAAGCTTGCACACAAAAAGTTTCTGTTGTCTTTGCTTCTTTTTTTGATCCTCTAGAAATAGCTTTAATGATGTTTCTTTGTCCTTAATGTGATTCTTGTAAGCATCTGATTCTATCGCTTTTTTCTTTCTTCATCATTTAAATTCTGTATTCTCTCACATTGATCACATTTATCTTTCTTTTGTAAGTGAAACCCTAAGTTAAATTCAGTCTTAAATATTTTTCTAAACTTCTGATAACTTACTGCGCCTAACTCTTTCGTATCATCGTCTTTCAAATAAAAGTTTCTATATAAATAGGTCACATCCCTAAATTCAGTTGGTAAGTACAATTTGTTACTTTTGTTTCTGCAATAGTGTGATTGAACGGCAGATAACTTCTTTATAAAATTATTGACGTTTTGTGTTTGAGATTGACTGTATTTATTTAAAGGCGTTCGTTTGCCGCGTTGGTCAGGTTTTGACAAAAACTTGCAATTTTATGTGATTTAGTGCAACGCAGTGTCATTTGCGAAATATCAAGGGTTTTCAAAAGAAACTGTTGACAAATTTTAACCGATTCAGTGCCCTTTGGTAAGTAATAATTGTAACTTATTTTTCGACGATCACTTTCTGCTCTTTTTCGACCGATTTCACATTCCTTAATACAAGATAAAATAAAATCTCTTTGTCTTTGTAAGGATCCAAGACCCCAATAGAGTTCATGGACGCAGTTTCTCTCGATTTCAGTAAACTTATTAGCGCAGTCATTCCCGCATTTTTTACCTAAGCAGGGATTAGCTTTGACAGATTTTCCTTTTCCAGACCACCTCTCAGACCTTTCTTTTAGTTTTTTCGGTAGTGGTCGTTTCTTCCGCATACCCTTTTTACCAACGATACCTGAGTCTTCCTCTTCTGTGCTATCAGAACTTTCTTTGGTTGAGTCCGAACTTTCAATTATCGTCGTAGGAATTTGAATAGCAGACGTGGATGGGCAAGTGTAGTCGTCCATACTTGTAAATACTAGCCTTTTCTTTTTTCTTCTGATAGGAATATGCCAAGACTGGTCAGAGTCACATCCACTAAAATCCTTTTCTACTTCAGAGTTTTGGTCGGTAGACGAGCAATGTGTAGAATCAGAGTAGTCAACTAAAGCATTGGATGGTATAAGTTCAGCCATCTCCTCAATTTTCTGGAAGCGAAATAAAAACGCTATACAAATCCAAATCACCGCCACCCAAACAAAAGTTAAAGCACAAAAAAAGAAAAAAACTGTGAAGGAAATTTAAGATTTAGGCATAACCACTCATAACGTATTTAATTGAAATGATACAACTTGTCATCAAACTTAATAACATCCCAGTAGGTAATTTAACTTATTTATGAAGTCAATGCATTTAATCAAACCCAGAAAAATAATTAGTACCTATATTATTTTACTTAAGTCTCTAGTGCTAAAATACCGCTCACCTAATTATTTTTGTTCACATCACACGATTCAAGTAGGTAATTTAGTTTCACGTTTCACTTACCTTGTCGTTCGATAATACGTGTTTTTTTACTTGAACACTCAGTTTAAGCAAATACACATTAGGAATAGTTAATTTTCAAAATATTCGTAACGTAAGTGAAGAAGGTATAACACAGTGACGAAAATCTTCCAATTTAAAACACGTTGAAACCTGTCTTGATGCTACACTACTTCTACAAGTGCGTTTTGATTCACTATTAAACTATTAGGTTGATTCTTTTAAACTATTTCTTTGATCGGAGCTTTTAAACATAAAATAATAAGCAGTTTCGTTATTTCTATTACTAACCTAAAGTCAAGGTAAGTTTTCTACTATAGTTACCAAAGTTAATGGCATTCATATTTTAATTTATTACACTATTATAATGTTACAGTTCAGGAACAACTAAACGCAAAACGCATTTTATTTCTATCGCAAGCGACAAGTATTTCACTTACGTTGCATAATTTATTATCGTAAGTGCCAAGTAGGATGTTTGCAATAAAATTATTAACCTAATATTATATCGTAAGCGACAGGTACTATACTAACGATCTGTCAGTCGGTGGAGGTTACGTTAAAAAAATTGAATGGGTTGTAACTTACGATGAAAATTTCGTAATTAAAAAAAGTTAATTACCATTTCTACTTTGAACTCAAGTAAGTGACAAAAAGATTCAAAATCAGTTGATCTGGCGGTTAGTAATTAAAACCGTTTTTTGGGAATTTTGGCGCTTACGATGTTCTTCCTGAAAAGGCTCGATTTAGTAATATAGCCTTTTTACAATTACAGGGATACTTGCATCTAGCTCGGTCACCGAATATTTGCCAATGCCCTGTGCAATCTTATCGAATATCTTTCGGTGGCACTGGTTGTGATGGCCTCCTCTTCTTTTTCATCTTAAGCTACGTTTCTAAAGAAAGGGAGCTTGGCCGCCTTGGCTTTGCCTTGATATTATTTACTGAATACCAAGATTGCACACGGTATTGGTTTATTCAAGCCTAAAGTTACACAAATTTAGTAATTTCGTATTTTGGTTACAAGCATAATTTTTTGTACATAAGCCATGCATTTACGACGGTCATGTCTAATAAGTGAAAAAAAGGCGGTTTGTCCATTTTCTACTTTTTTGGGTTATATGGTATCTACCATTATCGCTGTCTAGTGAATCCACACCCCCATGCGTGTTTTATAGTCTTTTATAACATTCGAGCAATCGATTGATACCCTTTCCTAGTCGTGGTACCGATTGGTAATGCTCCGACGATAGCAAATGCAATAAATGCGTAAGACGATAGCAAAGTCACTGGTTTATGGTCTTTCCAGACTACCGCACTCAAATCAACTCCATCTATGTTTACCACTGTTTTCACAAAGTGGCCTCGAGGGCTGTTCTTCTTCATAATGGTCTTTTTTATCAGGCTGTTTTTTATCGTTACTGTTTTTTATTCTTACGGTATTCCTACCTTTGATAAATAAATTGCTAAAGGAATAGATGTATAATATTGGTCGAAATAAATGATATGGTAAGCATGGCTAGGAACAATCCTTGCCAATCTAACCATCACGTTGCCTGTAGCCCCCAAATCTGGTTCACCAGGAAGTAACTTGAGCTTTTCGAAACCACTATATACTAAAAATTTGTGTGCAAAACCATAAATGCTACAAATTATTTTAATTTTAAAAGCCTCATTTATGCGGTTTATTTGATAAATACTGCTTCATGTAATGACTCATTTTGATAGCATACATTTGCTGACATCAATAGAAACCCGTTGTTCTAAAGGAACTGTCTCAAATATCACCAAATCCCTAGGACCAAATACCACGAAATCCCGGTAAATGTTGAATACTCTTATTTACGACGTCTTCTTGCTACAAAATGTTAGTGATATGACAAAGTAATAATATAAAATCCAGTGATATGTCTTTTCACTGAACTAAATCTAGTGAAATGAAGCGAGAATGAAGTAATAAAATTATTGAGTAAATTAGCAGGTATATAGGTTATATATATACAATTATATACCATTTGAGCAGCAATTAGACAATGGTTCAGACAGAATACTTTGATATTCCCCTAGGTTACAAATTTTAATATCAGTTTTGGCAACTAATAATTTCCTTTCATGATGATTTTTGGAACATTCCGCGAGCAAGTGTTGTACATCTTCTATTGTTTTGCATGTATCGCAATTTGAAGATTATTTCTTTTTCATCATGAAAGCAAACTTGTTACACGGAATGTGTCCGGAACGAAGTCGCATTACTAATACAATATATTTTCTATTCGACATTGTTAATGTACTTTTAATAATACGGGACAGCAACCAATTATAAAAAGATTTGTATCAATTTTACCTATAACGAAGTTAAGGTTTGGCCGTTCTTCACTACTTGTTTATTCTGTAGGCATACGACCCCTTCGTACCTTGAACAAAACGCGTGAAGATCGATTTACACTTCGACAACTACAGTAGCGAGTTAACTTGCGAACCTGGCGAGTTAAGTTAGAACCTCGTTTGAACGGCAATAAGCGAGTTAAGTAGCAAGTCAACGATTAAGTTGAACGGGATAGCCGGCCGAGCTATTTTTCGGCGAGTTAAGTGCGAAGTGCTGCCCTCCCGCGCGTCTCCCGCCACCCGCAACTAAACTCGCCGTTCGTGTAAACGAACGAGTTTAGTTCAGTGCATAAGTTGACAGGACGCAACGTTTGCGCGCCAAAATGTACAATTGTACTTTTATAATTGAACTCGCCACAAAGTTTGTACGATACTGTTTATTGAATATTTATAAGTTTTATATTGGGTTTTAATAATAAAATGGACCGAAGATATTATCACGTATAAATTCGTACAGGAGTATTTAGTACACGAATGTTTATATGATAGTAGAAGTTCAAATTGTAAAATTAAAACTGCTCGAACACTCATAAAAATTCTTCAAAACTTCTTTAATAACAACCATTAATACTTCTCTGACTGGATCTTTTAATTTTTGACGTAATCCTAGAACCATCTTAAACGAAAACCAGAAAAATTCTGTAGTCTTGAAATGTCATACTCCAACGAACTCTATGAATTAATGTCCTTACCTAAACTCGCCACGAAAACATTGTTTGAACGCTACTGCCAACTTAACCGTTTACTGTCAACTATCCTGTAACTAAACTCGCTACTGTACTTGTCGAAGTGTAAATCGGTCTTAAGCGACGCGGTTTCAGCGGCGTTTACGATTTTTCTCGCGAGAATTGAGCTTGCTAACTACACCTTTCAGCAATCTAGCGCTACCTGTTGTGTGACGCTTGACTAGACGGCGTAATATTTTTTTAACGGTGTAGCTAAAGTAAAGTTACGAAATTACCATAATTACTGCAATTTTTTTTTACAGATAGCTGCTCTAGTGCGTAGTAGATAGTATATCGATGACCAATATTCATTACATGATAGTTTGTTATTGGTTCGACAGCCCCTGAAGCATTATTTTCCTCCTGAAGTGTACCAGTTTCTAAATCCTGAAATAGAATTATAGGTATACATTATACTTTTTATTCACAGATGCCGGTCAATGAGCAGCAGTGGTTAGAAGTTGAAAAGGGATTCAAGAAAAAATTTCCACATGCTCTTGGGCCAATGGATGGGAAGCACATAATAACACAATGTCCAGTTAACTCTGGTTCTGAGTACTTCAATTATAAGAAGACATTCAGTGTAGTACTATTAGCTTTAGTCGACAATAACTATAATTTTATGTATGCTGACATTGGCATTCAAGGCAGGTTCAGTGACGGAGGTGTATTTAAAAATTCTTCGTTATGGCCAAAAATTGCATCTAACAGGTTAAATCTTCCTAAGCTACGTCCGTTCTCCAGTACTGATAATGTTGACATTCCCTTCGCATTTATGTCTGACGGAGCATTTGCTTTACATAATAATATTATGAAACCATATCCTGGTAATCATGATATCAATTCAGCTATACGAATTTTCAATACGCACTTGTCAAGATCTCGAATAGTAGTTGACCGCTACAAATAACCCCTTTGTCGTGTCAGTTTGAAGGCACTCCCCTTGCTACCTCAGCTAGCATTAGAATCCTCGGCGTCGATATATCGAATAGTGTGCAGTTTCGTGGTCACTTGGAGAGGAAGGCCAAATTGGCTTCTAAAAAGCTTGGCGTGCTCAGCAGAGCGAGACAGAGTAAAGTGTTTATTTCTACGAATAATTAAATAAATCACATAAAATCTGAAATGTCTTCACCGTATAGGATTATCTATGCATGAATACTTTTCTTTGCTTTTCATTTTCTTACACATATCATTTGACACCTGAAATTTCGTACAAACTCTTTGATTTTTAACAGCTTATCTTGCTAATGGAGCTCCGTTGACGGTGGATGTTATCAATTTATTTCTGAATTTTGTGTTCATATTGTTTAATTCACTGAAAACTTTCGCAATCTGCATTGCTATGTGGTAGAAATAATACGTCTAGAGCTCTAGAGCAAAGTTTGCTAATATTATGCAGCCTGTAGTATCTTGGACATTTGCTCAAAATTCATGTACTTTTCTTATGTCTATTTGTAATTCTGAAAGTTTGTTTACATTTGATAGCAAACTCCACTCGTCATCAATTCGTTACATATCCAATTCTCTCACAATTCGTGGCA